GAGCCCGAGAGGCCGGTTGCGCGGCCTGCTGACCGCACGGCAAGCGCTCGAGGAGTCCGCGAGCTACCAGAGCTCCCGCGAGCCCACCCGCTCCCGCGAGCATGTGGTCCTCGTTACGGAGCATCGTGCGACGCGGAGGGGAATGGGTTGCAGCAGTGGGAACCGCTCGCTCGCTCCCCGCTGCAAACCTGCCCTGCCAGCCGCGTGCCAGAAACGCAGGAAACCCATCCAAGAGGGGCACTGAAAAGCCATGGGGAACTGGCAGCGCCGGGAGAGGAAGGGGTGGGGAAGGACCCTGGGGAGAAAAAGTCAGAGTTTTTAGTGTGGAATAAACATGAGGATTTCAGTTTTGCTCTCGGCCGTGTGCGTCTCGCCCTGGGGAGCCATCTGTGTTGCACTGCCCTCTCGTGCCCACTTTGAAGAACATCTCCAAGGGAAAAAAGAGTTGCGAGCAATGGTATTGCCTGCTCCAGGATGCTGAGCTTACCCCTTGGGCATTTTTGACCATTTAGTTATGAATAGAAACATATTGAATACAGCTGCCACCTGGAGACCTAACTTCTTAAGTGTCCTTTGCAGGAACATGTCCTGAATTCGGAATTAAAAGAGTTAAAAAGAATGAAACAACCCTTTCCTTCAGGCATCCCATCTCAGGGTTCCCAGCCAGCCTCAGTGAACTTATTCATGGTTGCCTTTTAAAATATTGCAAAGTTCTATAGCCAAGACCTCAAAACCAGCCACTGGCACTAAATTTAAGCACTGGCATTTGGACTTCTGCATTTGCAGTGTTTTTCTCAAAATGTATTTGGCATTTGCAGTATTTTTCTCTGTATCTTGATATGGGGAAAAGATTGCTTGGAGAGACGGGCACAAAAATCACCTCCCGCTCTAGCCCTGCCTCCCCTGCTCAGAGCGCAGCCCGCGGGTTCGCAGCCCCGAACGCGAGCACCGGCCCAGGCACTTTGTGATCCTGCCATTAACAGAGCACACGGGAACGGAACTGGAAAACCAGGAGCAGTAATGTCATGTAGAGGGAAAGCAGCGCAGGCCTTCAGCGGCGGTCAGGCTGTAAAGAAGAGAGTTTAAGAGGCCCCTCTGTACAGATCCTGCAGACACGCTGTGTAAACAGGGCTGCCCGGATGGATTTAAAGTCACCTCCGCAGAGTCATGCCTGGATGTGCCGGGCAGCAGGAAGGAAAGCGCCTGCCGGGAGAGGTGGAAGCGTCGGCGCTCCCGTCAGCCTCACACATGGACCCACCATGTGGCGGCCCGCCCCAGTGCCAAGGCTGATGCGGAGGGTCCCTCGCCCCAGCTCGGCCTTCCCGCCTCGCGCTGACAGTGTCCCTCTCCCTGCTCCGGGATGTTCAACACAAGGTCCAGCTGCCACAGAGCGCCCAGGGCCCCCTCATCGCTACGATACGGCGCCACCGGGCCTGGGCTGCAGAACTTCGGAAGCTGCTCTGACACTAACCTTTTCCACAGGGAGATGGGGTGGGCACATAGTTAATGAAGTCCCGCAGACACTCGTGTAGGTCAAAACACCGCTAGACCCATGCCAACCTGAAGATAGTCAAATCATCTGTTTACACTTGATAATGAGATCCAGACAAGCCTCGCTGTATTTAAGCTGGCTCTGATATCGATTATTCAGAAGAAATATCTAGGTGTACTTTGACACAAAGTCAAACGGAAGCTTAAAAAGGGCAGTTGCAGCCCAGGAGATTGACAAGAGCGGCGAAGCCGGCACCCAGGAGCCCCGCGCCGCGTGCCGCAGCCCCTCCGCAGAGCAGCCAACTGCTCCACTCGTGCTACCCTTCTCTCCGCAGTCACGCGTGCCCTTTCCAGCCCCTCTTCAGCGTGCCGGCCGACCCCCGTAAGAGGGAGAAATGTCCGCTATTTACCAGACGACACTAAACTGCCAGCTGCCTTCTTCAAACTGAGTTATTCCTAGGCTTTGCGCCAAGGTCCCTGCCCATGGCAGCCCCAGCTGCTCTGTGCGGCTCAGACAGCCCATCCTGATCCACTGCTGCCATTTCTCCGTGCTGCACCCTGCATGTTCTTGCAGACCTCCATGCCTGACCCGTTTCCCTTTTCCTTTGTCCTCCACGCTTTCCCCCTTCCTGCACGTTCTCCTCCAACCATTCCCCCTTCTCCTCACCCCACCAAAGCAGATCAGTTCTTGTGTGAACACTTGGGGAGACAGCTCCGAGGCTCCTACCTGCCCCCACAGAAGGCCTTTCCCTTTGGGAAATCAGGATATTTTATCAATATCCTGATAAAACCGGCCTTTGGGGGAGCGAGAAGCGCAGGGACAGCCACCCTGCCTGCTACAGACAACAAGGGATGCAAGAAGAAACACTGCAGACACCGTGCCAGATCTGCCGAGAGCCCTGCGCTTCACAGACCCGAGGAAACAGCAGAAGAGCCCATCTGGCTGCGACACTTTGGGGCCTTTCCTGTAAGAAAGGAGAATCCAGCACGTATCAGAACACATAATATCGACAATAATGAGTGTAAACACCCCAGGAAACAAAGGGGCGCGTGTTCGTTCACGTTTGTGTCACCAGCGTGGCGAGGCAGCGCCGGCCCGGCAGCCCCGCGCGGGTCCCGCAGCACCACCAGGGCGCGCGGCCCTCTCGCCGCCTCAGGGACGTGTGGGCCCCGCGCGCAGCTCATCCCGCAGAGGAGCTCCCCGCGGCCGCGCAGGGACCCGCCGGGCGCCTCGCAAACGTCATCCACAGAAAATAAACCTTCCGATCGGGGGGAAAACAAACAAGCCCTACATCCCTGTGTTATTTAAAGGAAATAAAAAATGTGTCCAGGCTTTCATGCATACATCACAAATGAAAAACTAAAGCGACAGAGGTGAACTTTTTCTTCCTCTTCCCTACAATTTTATTGTTGTTCCTAACAATTCTTAACAACCAAACAAATAGGGCCCCCCTATCCACCACGCAAAGGTGGGTGTGCAGGCTCAATGACTGCCCAAGGAAGGGGCAATTCCGGGTGTCACATCTCCTGGCAAACCCAGATCTGTGTCACTAGCTCTGCGGAGCTGCCCCAGCGCAACAGGAGGTGCCAGCCACGCCAACCCACCCTGTAAAACGGCCCCCAAGTCTTATGGAAGATGCTTTTCTTTCTGCACTTAAATAATAAACTGCTTGTTTATATGCAGTGCCTGAAAACTGGAATAATTCACCTCTCAGCTGGTTTGAGAGAGCTCAGAACTGCTCCCTCGCAGCGGCGGAGCGTCGGGAGGGCACCCAGCCGCGGGGGCGCGCGGCCCCAAGGCCGGGGCGTGAAGGGCAGGAGGTCCCCACAGCACAGGCTGGACCAAGGCTGCACTGGCTGATGCAGCTTCAAGATACGACCAGGTCCGAGTACCTCGGAGACACTGTGCTCCGTATCCAAGGGGAAAAAGCTCCGACAGGGAACGCGCATGGAGAAGCGGCCCCCACCCGCCCCTTCCCGGGAAAGGGCTCCCTCCTGGGAGGATCGCATGGAGCAAGATGAAGTCATCTCCGAGGGGTCTGAGTGTGACCACTGAGGAAGGATTGGTTGAAGCTTGAGCGTGTCAGACATGAGCATTTCTTTAAATACACTCAAAATAATCATTAATTAGTTGCTTTCAGTATTTTTGTGCGTGCATGCATTTTTAAGCTCAGAAAACTGTTCCATATTATTTTCCAACATATTTACATTGGTCCTGAGCACTGATCTAGCAAGGAGAGCTTTTAAAAGACAAGAATTTGAGTGTATTTTTTGAATCTGTAATTTTTGTAATTTTTTTTACATAATACAGTGTTAACACCTCCTCTAGCAGGACCTCCAAAAGCACCTATGTCTGAAGGGGAGAGTTAACATGAGGTGGCAGATTCCTTTCCCCAAACTAAAGTGGCAGCATCTGCAGGGTGGAATCCACCGTCCAACCGCAGCACAGGCAGCATCCCCCCTTCACACACTATTTTTTCTATACAGAAAATGCCATTTACCAGGTAAGCGTTCAAGCATCATATTCTTGGGTTTTGTTTCTGTTTTTTTACTTTCTCACTAAGACATCTTCTGATGCCAAGTTTGACCATTTAAACAGGTTTGGTTCTTGTTTTTTTTGTTTTGTTTTGTTTTGTCACATTTTCATGCACATATATATTTATATATATTTACAGAAAGGTCTCCCTCACATTAACCTTATGGAGAAAGCTCCCCTCATAACAATGCAAAACTACACAGTCCTACACAACTGTCCTAGCAAATACACACTGCTGGGAAAATTAAACCTATGTTTTCCATTCCTCTTGGATAAATAGTAGTGAGGCCATTTATTGAGCCCCACACTAAACCTAGGAACTCGGAGCAGTGAAAAGGGTGACTTACCGGAACAAAAACGACAAGCAGGAAACGCGATTCCTTTTCTCTTTTATTGATACTGCCAAGGTGACCACCTTTACGCAGGCGAATTGCTTTCCTACAAACACACTTTTTGCATTAATTTGGGAGTAACATTTTGCCCTCTGTGCCTCCTAAGTTTACCCAATTAACACACAGTTATGTTTTTAATAATCATTTTCCACATTTCTCTATTTATGAATGCCATTGGCTTTTTTCAGATCTGTGTAAAGGTTACTTGGCAAGAATACATGCATATGACATTAAATGGAGACCAATCCACCACTAAAAGGTAATGCACATAAAACATAATACAGTACTTCGACGTCATTTCAAATAAATACCCACATACAAATGTAGTAATTTTAAATGCAACAATATTTCTTATGAATCAATACTGTAACAGAAGTTGGAAATATAAGTCCCCACATCTAGGAATAACAATGCTTCTTCCAGCAAACAGAAAGCTTTTACCCCCTGACAATATTATTTCAATTTGTACTTTTTTTGAGGAGTGGGAAGGCTTCCCCCCCAGCAAGTACCAATTTAATCCTCCACGTGAGCCTCAGCAAGCGGTGCCGAGCGGCGGGCACGGCTTGGTGACGCGCTCTCCGTTTCTGTTTCCTGAAATTACAGTGATTAGATACAACATGCAAGAGAAGATATTAATGTCCCGCCTTTCACATTTGCAAACAATACTATGGTTAACTGCATCCACCACCAGACGAAGCTAATAACATCAGTATTCCCATTACGCCCTCTGCACCGTAACCACAAATGTGTTAATACAGCTTGCTCATTTGTTCGGTATGAGCCCATTTGGTTCCCAAAGTGTATTCGGGTTGGTATAGGCTTTTTTTTGTTTGTTTATTCTTTCTCTATACCCCTGAATTTGCAAGAATTTGCATGATGAAATATCATTGACTAACAGAATTTTTTACAATTTCTTGTATATATAATCTCTATAGCAAGACTACCCATTAAAAATGTGCGAAAGGGGAGTTCACTTTGCACTTATTGCTCCATGTCTTGACTAAATTCCCAAACAGCCGTTCCTTTTCTTCTTGTATAGACTAAGCTATTCTAAGATTCTCCCTTAAAATTATTAAAGGCACTACTGGCAATAATTAATGACAGAAAGGCGCTGAAATATAACACCCTATCATTGACAACTTTAGAATTTTTCTTTCTAAATGTACCATAATTTGGCACAATAAAATGAAAAAGTAACAAAACAATTCCAATTTGGAATTTAACTGGTACAGTTGTATAAAATTCTGTTAATCAATAATACTTCAACTTCCTAAAACCCAGGAATTCTGGAATTTATAGGTAACACTACTTCTTTAATATTTTTCAAGTGCCTATTACTGTTTTAACCAGAGCAAAGTCAAGTTTTCTTCTTGTTACATTGAACTATTCCTAAGAATAATAATACAATATGAAAAAACCCCAGAATTTGAATACCCTGGATTTCTTAATGAACATGGCAGTTAAAAAAAAATCAGTAATTTAAACATATAAAGCTTAACATTTCATAATAAAAAAGCTGCTGAAGCACAGCACACACATAGTTTAGCAGAGCTCATGGTTTTTGTTGAAACTCTTTCTAAACACAGTCTAGAGCCCCCAAAAAAGTCTCTGCCACATGCTGATGTAGAAATCAACAATCACAAGCCCAAATCTGAGAGAAACTATGAGCACAAACCACTGCATCTATATAAACTCTTCTACATAAGGAATTAAAGAAGCTAAAGTAAAATATCAAAATATCAAAAGTGCACAGGTTTAACAATCAGATAAAAAATGAGCATCTGCAATGAAATAGGAAATTCCCCCATCTGAACATTTCTAGTAGATCATAAATGAGTATGGTGATCATTACTTTTGAAGTAGGTTTCTTCAGCACTTGTAAGTTTTCTTACTGCAGCAGCACTTATAGGTAAAGCTTGTTTGTTTTATAGCTTGAGACATAAAGGAGAGTTACGGGTAGCAGAGAGGAAAGGAGGTTTTTAAGGTTAGGTAGGGTCAGATCCATTCTTTGTGCAACGGGCTACCACTTTTAGCCCCAATGAGAGGCTAAGAATGCTGTTGCACTGTTGGAAAGGCCTTCTCCAGGGACTACTCTACAGCTGAAAATGGAAAAATAAAATAACATTAGAAAAAAAAAAAAAAACAGTATTTATTTCTTATTTAAAGAACTAACATCTTAATACCCGGTGCTGCGCAAGCCCCAGAGCGGGTTAGTTGGCCGGGTGTGTGTTAGGGCGGCAGCGGCGCCGCGCGCTCGGCGCGAGCGAGGCTCTGCAGAAAGAAGGGTTCTTACAAGTACTGAACGAAGCTGCGCTGCTCGAGCGCCGGTTGGCAGCAGTGAATGTGCAAGAGGCTGTCGGCGAAGCTCTAGGTTCCCGAAACATGCAGGTCAATGTGTCATGCAGGCCAGTGCACAGAACAGAACCGCTGGGAAGAGCCTGCGGGCAGAGGTAGGCGACGGTCCCCATGCGACATCCCGACCCACTGAGAGTGCAGCCAAAGACTTGCACCAAGCCAACGACTCCAGGAATTGTTAATCAAGAGCTACAAGCCTCAGTCTTAGACATAGTCACTATCTACACATACAAACAGCAGGACCAGGGCACCATTGCTCATTTCTTTCTATGACATTGTACTCAGCAGTCAGGCTTCTTGGCTTTTGTCTTTTTGTTTTAGTTTGCTTTTCTTTTAAGATCCACAGAAATGAAGATGGAAATGATTACTAAACCTGTTGTGCTAATAGTAAAATTGTTCATATTTGGAACTGAACAGGTGGACTAGACTGATAGTAATAGTCACTGATGACACTGAAATCTTTCTATAAAGTTCCAGTTAGCTCAAAAAAAATCCTAACAATGAATTCAAATTCTTGAATTTACCTTTCTGCCATTAGTATTTTGTGACAATACTGCTATCAGAAACATGGAAGTGGTGAAAATTGTATTAAAGCTCCCTACCATAGCGGAAGCAAGATGAAAGCTGTTTCTATTGGCGCAAAAAAAGCCTGCCTTTACAAGGTAATTTTGAATCACACATGATGCAGGAATGATAAGAATAAAGGCCTTATCGAAGATTGTGCAGCAAAGAAGAAAAAACCAGGATTGAAAACTCTTAAAAGATATCTTGTATCTAAAACATCAAGCCTGCTACTTAGCAATATTAAAGCTCAAATTCAGGAGAATTCAATTTAAAAAAAAAAAAAAGTAATACTAGATGCACAGAACCTAGCTGCTAAGGCCAGAATGGCTTTTTGTTGAACTCTCTCATGCAGTGATGTTTGGGCAATGTATCAGATTTAAATCACTGGGGCATTTTCCCCCTTCCACACTGGCAAACGCAGGCCTGGCATTCGAGCAGGCCTGGCATTGGAGCTGCTCCCTGGAACGTCTCCCAGCCCTGGAGCCAGGTTTCCAGGATCCCGCCGGATTGCCTTAGAGCGTCAGGGCGGGAGTTTCAGGAGCCTTTGAGCCCGGCCAACACGTGGGCGGTCAAAGCCCCAGCGGGTTCCCTGCCCTGGGCAGGGGCCGTGCTCCGAGCGCTGGGCCTCTCCCGACTCCTTGGAGGGCAGGGATGGCAGGGAGGGAGCTGCTCCCTGCGGACAGGGAAGGGCGGCGGGAAGGGGCAGAGCGGCCGTGCAGGCACTGCCCTCCGCAACGCTACGGGCAGCCCAACGACTCCAAGGGCTGCAGAGGAGCAGGGCTTTGCACTGAAACAGTCTGAGGCTAGGCACTTCAAAACTGCTAAAAAAAAAAAAAAAAAAAAAAAAAGCTCCACAAATTCTCCACAACTCTAGAAGCGACGTTTTTCAATCCTGTATGTTTATCATGTATATAGGCACCAATTATGAAGTACACTTTTGTATTATTGAATATACTGATATCAAGTGGCTAAAAAGGCCCCTTAAAAGTTCAATAGCAGAAAAAGGGTTGTTTGCTTGTTTTTAAAGATTAATATGTATACTAAACTACTCCAGAAATACTTGAGCAGGATGATCTGGTTAAATTTCCTGTGCCTATAATGTAGAGCCCTGCAAAACATGTGCTTGCATAAGGAATGCAGTATCTTCTGTATATTAAAAAAAAAAAAAGAGAAATCAGAGCTCTAAAATATTATCCTATAAAGATTAACACTGAAAGCTGAGAAAAATTGTTTTGTAGCTGACAATACTAGGCCACAGTCGCATTAATTCTACACAGATATGTTGTGTGGCTACAGTAATATGAGAGATTATTTTTGAAGTATTATGCTGTAAGGAGCAACAGAAGTCACAAAGATCCTTTCAGGACATGATACTTTTCCACAGCATAACTTCTTGAAGTGGAACTGTCTACCAGGTAGGATCCGAGTTCTCAAAAAACTAAGTTTTATATCAGATGGGGTAAATATTGCATATTTTCTAATATAAATGTGCAAGTTTTTTTCAGGCAAACCCTCTGAAAAGAGGAAAGCAGAATGTAAATAATGTATCCTACCATGTTTTTCCAGCTTTTATAGTTTATAAAAGCTTTAGGACTTTGGTCAGTGGTGGTATGACAGCAAGACTTTAATATCTGCCATAATAGGCAAATTAATTTTGGTTCCAGTTTTGAAATGCTCTGCATTTCTAAGACATACTTCTAATCTTAACATTTGCTTTTCACCACTTCTTAAGCCACACTAACAAGGGAGGTTTTCTGTTTGTGTCTGCCTGTGAAAGCATTTATTGAAGTATACTGCAACCCTGGAGAAAGGATCACATTTGTGCTATACAAACTACAGTTAGTAACACCAGATAGAGTATATCAGGTATACACTTTTAACACTTACCATAAACAGCAAAACCCATACATGTTAATTGTGGAAAAAGCTAATTCCTTTCCACTATTAACTTGTTAATAGCATCCCCGTGCTTATGAATTAGTTACAGTTAAGACCACCATAATACAATTCGTATTACCTGGTTTAACAACATACTAATACAAGTCAACTCACTGCGACATTAGATAGTGGGGATTTACGCTGACCGTTACAGCATAAAGATGTATAATATGTTTCTTCTACACACCTCTCCTAGTCACAATAAATTTTATATTTCTCGCTACAAAACACCTGGTTATTAAGGACAGCACCTTCAGAGCGGTCTGCACAGGACCGAATATGACTTACACTCGGGTTACTGCTCTTGGCTTTGGAGGCAGATTTTGTGCGCACCCTTTTGGACTGCTCATGGTCCAGCTCCAGGTGCTCCAGGCGCTGGGTGAGGGCCAGTTTCTGCTGGATGGCCATCCGCAGCAGCGAGTTCAGAGTCTTCTTCTCATCTTCGGCCGCCGCAAGCTGCCGCTGCATCTCATCCAGCTGCGTGACGTACTCGTCACATCTGCAACGAAACACATGGCTCGTTAGCCACGCTGCTCCCAGCTGCAAGACATGAAACGCTCGTGTCCGCAGGCGTGAGCACAGCCCCCAGGTTTGCAGGCGTGGGCACACGCGCCGCTGGCCCAACGTAGAGAGGCCCAACCAATTTGCACCAGGGCTCTCGCAAGGCCACGCGCAGCGCTGAGGCTCACACCTTTCGTATGGAGCATCATTAACAGCATCCCTGGAAAATGAAGGGATGGAGCCTGGTATGAAAGTACTCATGTCAAAAATGAACACTGTACTCTAAAGCTCCCCGAGAACGTCAGATCCAAGCTTTAGGCTGGAAATGGAGTCAGAGAGGAACTATAGGAAGAACTATAAAATGACCCTTCCTAAAATGATGATTAAAACCATCAGATCATCTAAATTTCATACATTGATATTTTAGACAGTGTCCAGTAAAAGATTTCCAGTGGTGATTAAAAAGGCTGTTTAAAGAGAAGTATCTTTCATAATTTCACTTTAACCTACTCTGATTCCTTATATAAAATGCTATAGTTACTATTTTATTACTGTTTCATCTACAATAAGTGGCCATTATATAATTGGTTCCACTATTAAATTTAATTTTGAAACAACTAACAAAGGAATGGCGTGTCATGGGAGCGCTGCAGGGGAGGCAGTATGGATGCCTGCAAGCTGCTTTATCTCCAGTCCTTTCCACGGAGTGTGGAAGCTACTGAACTTGCACAGTGCATCATGAGCTATTTTAAAAATTCAGGTCCCATGTAAATGCAGGTTTGCTGTACATGAACACTATACTTATAGGTAAAGAAATAAATTCTGATTGACACCTACAGGTCTTTATAATGGCTGCATCTGCAATATCTGTAAAAATGCAACAAAAAGCAAAATTAGAGGTTCCTTTTAATGTGAAACCAGAAAAGCCTCTGACTTTAAGGGAGATTTATCATCCTTAATATAGGTAAAGAAATAAATTCTGATCGACACCTACAGGTCCTTATAATGGCTGCATCTGTAATATCTGTAAAAATGCAACATAAAGCAAAAATAGAGGTTCCTTTTAATGTGAAACCAGAAAAGCCTCTGACTTTAAGGGAGATTTATCATCCTTAATCAGCATAAAGTAGACTTGGGGAAGAGGGGTGGGACACAAAACTGCATTCACATGCAGGTTCGTCAGCTGTGCTTATAGGACCAGGTATCAAAATTTTCTCCCCTGATTTCCAGGATTAGGTCTTCATTCTCATCCTATTTGTTTGGGAAGGGAACAGGGAAAGTGAATGTATATTTCTTTGAATACAGTGGAGAATATACAGCTCAGAAACATTCATATAAAGCCTGCATGGACTACATCAGCAGTGTGGCTTAGCGTGGCAAAAGGCTTTGAATTCAAGGCCACTCTGTGGTATGTGTTTTTAGGTTTCCCTTGCTTTGCTTGGCGCAGACAGAGGACTCCTCTGGGCCAGGACCGGAGCGCAGCGAGGCCGCAGCCTCCCGCCTGCCGCGGTCTGTCCCAGCCCCGCCAGGAGCGACACCGGCGGCGGCAGGAGGAGGGGAGCCGGGGCCTTCCCCTTCGGAAGGCAACGGGGGAAGCGAGCAAGGCCGCTGCAGTACCGCAGCGCAGGGACCGCGCACACAGCCTCGCTCGCGTCCCCCAGGCCTCATCGCTCCGCGGCTCTGGAATCACTCAAACGCCTCTTGATCCAAGGCAGTCACTTGCACCAAAGCTGATAGGTGACTGGTAACACGTCAAATGCTTCTCAGCATCTCGCAGGCAATAAAGTAGTTTGCAAGGGAGCTCAGCTATAATTAAAGGCATAATCTTCATTCCGAAAGGTTATTGTAAAAGTCGTTACCTCATCAAGCTCTCTGCCAGCATAAAGGCTTAAAACATCATATGACTCCCCTTAAAAATGACAAGGTATTCACTAATTTAAATACCAAAATTAGCATTTCCCATTTATGCTTCTTCCATTACAGCTCCAGCGCAGGGAGCTTTTCCATCCTCTTCAAGAACCCTGTGTTTTCAGCAGCATCCACACAGTTGCCATTTTTACTGCACCTCAATAACTATTTTCTCATCTGTACAACAGGAATGGGTAGAAATAAGAAGCATTAACTTTGTATGAATGCACGAGGTGCACCCTGAACCTGCTTTCCTGGACTTTCAGTCATGGGAAAGGATACAGAAATCAAACCAACAACCCTCACCTCGCCCTGTCAGAGGGTCACAGAAATGCTGCACGCTGCAGAACTGAGCACCCCTTCCCGGCACAGGAGCACCGGGAGCTTCCAGGATTCTCCTGGAAGCCAACGCAGGCTCCGCACGCGCAGACTGGGATTTGCCCCCCTTGCTCCCTGCTCCTCTCTGGCTTCCAGTTCCTTTTTCTCTAGTGCAGAGGGGGCCTCCCTAAGCCCTCCAAGAGGACACAACCTCTCGCGCTACTTCACCTTAACGAGTCACTGCGGGCAGCCCTAGCAGCGCACTTGGGCTGACGTGTGTTTTGCTGCTTTGCAGATGCAACAGCAAAATATCTTTCCTGCTTATAATGTGCAAAGGAAATTCTCACCTGTATAATACATGCAAAAACACTAGAAGGGCAGAACACTAAATGTCTTTGTATTAAAAACACCTTCAAAAAAATAATTGAGGATTATGCTTTAAAGAACATCATTAAGTTAGCATAGTGTGCTTTACACACACACATTTACGTCTGTTGTGCTTTACACATTCATGTTTCTAAGTGGGTACTGAACAGAAAGCTTTGATGTTGCTTATTTACTAATCACTGGTCATTAATAGCAACAAAAGTAGGAGTTTCAGTAAACATCAGCTAGATTAAAAGACAAAACCAAAAAGCCACCAACTAAAACAAGTGCCTACACAGAGTAAAAAATATATATGTGTGCGCATATCTGTGTTTCTGTGTGTGTGTGTGTGTGTGCATATACACATACACCTCCTGAATGTTGAATATAATGATGAGAAATTAAAACGCTATCTGGAGCCAAGTTATCCTTTAAAATATGACAATGAGGTTGTCTCCTTTTCAAGGGCTGCGGGGCCACTGCTTCCTACAAAAGTCTGTCCTACCTTATTTCTGCATACTTCTTTTTAAGCTTTAATATGCAAGATATTTTATATTTTATATTGAACAAAGATTTGTACTGGAAACAAGAATGATGTGACCAATTGCATCTGGATATAATACTACTTCCTATCTCCTCTGTGATCGGTGTGAGGGCTAAGACAATTCTCCAAGCAGGAAATACTGCTAGACAGAGATGTGACTGCAGGAGGCTCCTTGAGAGAAACATCAACTGCTTTACCTCCTACCACAGGAGATTAAGCTGTCAACCTACATTAGAAATTAGAACACGGCGGATCAAACTCCCCATTTTTCTTCTTCAATAAAAACTGGGGAAATGTATTAGCAGAGCGGCAGTTAAAATGCAACGGAAATGAGCACTGCCCGAGCTCGGCTCTAGGGGATATTAGCCACCTGCTATTTCACACAGAGCCTCTGCATTATAAATTCCCATTACAGGGAGATTTGCAAACTCCCCCCGCTGTGGAAAGACCTCACCTGCAGAGAGTGGCACACCGATACCGCTGCAGGGGAAACGCGGGGCGGGAGGTGAGGCCGGGGACGCGCCGCAGCCAGGCGGCCTGGCAGCACAAGGGAACCCCCCAGCGCTGCGCCACGGGCTGGCATCTGGAGCCAGCCCACTTCAAAGGTGACCGACACACGGCCGTGCCGCAAGCTCAGCTCCCCACGGAAAGGGAGGCTCCTTACTCGGTGCTCGCGTGGCCAGCTGGGCTCTCAATGGGGCACCTGTAAAGCAGCTCTTCCCATTCCCATGGGCAACAAAACCCAGACTGGCTCCATGACAGGAGCTGGCATTTTTGTTATTTGAGTATTTCTACAGAACCACTATCTTATCACAGGAACACAGTCTGTGTTTTACGTGAGCGTTTCCAGACTTCAGATGGAAGGTGTCAAGGCACACAGGGATTAGGGGAGGCCATGGCTGCTTTACAAAATATCTGGGAGAAGAGGTGGAACTGATTTTTGCCACCCAGGTCCAGGGTCCGTCTACCAGGGGCACCCACACTTGGACCTCAATACATCAGGCATCAGCATTTTGATTGCCAGAAGCACTAAAATGGGCACTTTAGCCTTGTAAGTGTTGGAATTGCCTTAAAACTCCTCATCCAGTCTGTGGCCAACTTCCTTAGTTCCTCCTGGCTACAGAATGATGGCCACAGTGACCTTGTGTTCTTCATCTAACTATTTCTGAGGACCAGCTCTGCTATTCTAGCACTGAGATCACAGTTTTCAACACCCATTTCTGGCCGCTGAACCTGACTGCCTTTGCTCTGTTGTCATTACCGGAGTGCTCTGGAAGTGCCAGATTCAAGGGAACTCTCCAAGCACTGACTGGAACCCTATGGTTTTACTCCCTCCTTCCTTGCTGAAAAGTTATATCAACTTTTAGCTTAAATTCCAAGCTTTTTTGTTTTTTTTTTTTCCTCTCGTATCTGTTTTAGTACTCTGTTTTTCTCCAAAATCAGTTTTAGGAGCTCTCTTACTCTTGCAGGCTTCAATGACGAATGCTTATAGGCAGTCTAGAAACACACAGTGATCAACACAAAAGGAGGAACCTGTGCTACACTCCCACCCCAAATCATCAGAAAAGAGGACACTGACTGCAAGTTTCACTCGCAGCACTTGGGCAGAGCTCGCTCTCTGGCAAAGGAAGGAATCGGACTTTCATCTGACAATGCTTCAAAGAAAGATACATTAAATTTTCTCAAATTTGTTATTAAAACCCTCTCTTCACATTTAAGTGCAGCTTTATACTGTTCTACATAGAAGCCTTTTTATTTTGTTAACCCTCTAAATGGTTGTTACAATATTTTTAAACCTAGCATAAAGTACTATGGGAGATAAATATTCTTACGAGGAGACCCCAGCAGCAGCCTGGGGCTCTGTGCTCCATTATGCTCCACTCTGAAGTGACCTCAAGGCCACCAGAGAGACCTTCCCAGCTTGGGACCTCTCATGTGCTGCTGCTATTCCCTTATTTGGGGCCATTAACTTAGGTCTTTGGTTACATTAACCTCAAAAAATGCTCAACAAAAAGCTTGAAAGCCCCTTGATTCATGTATAATTTCAAGATAAATACTTGATAAAAGGATCTCGGTGAAATGAATTAACTAAAAATCTCTGCACTTTACATTTGCTTGTATTAAGAGACACAGTAAAAACTCAGAGAGAAAGCACTGCATTTTAAAGACCTTCTGCCTTTTGAAAGCTTACATTTCAGATTTAACGCGAAAACAAAACAGTTACCAGTTGATATTATACAAGGGAGCAATTACCTATGGAGAATTTTTAACAAAAACAGCTTGTGAGAGCTGTATTTTCTTGTTCCAACTTGCAGAGATTTATTCTTTCGACTGCAAGCTCACGCACACCCCGGCTGTCACCGTAGCAGACATTTTGGGTGTGCTTTAAGAGATCCCTTCCAACAGGCCCCCACTGACCCCGTTCAATCTCCTCCTGTGTAGATACAGGTTCATCTGTTTTAAGTTCCTAAGAAAATACATTCAACCCTCCTCCCGAAACAACAGCCACAGCAGTGTACTCTGTATGATGAGCTTAGGAAACAATAATTTTCAAAATACTTTTTTTAAAAAACCTGTTCCAGATAGCAGGTAAGAGAAGCCAGATGGCATCCACAAAAGAGAAGCACAACTTCACATCTTGATAACAAACCTGCAGCCAAACTGCCTGTTAACAAGTGCAAACCTGCTGGACAAAGCAGAACAAAAAATGTTCAATTTCTCTTGGCATTTTAAAGGCAGAAGTGATTGCCTTTCTGCTAGTGCACAGAGAATTTACTCAGAAACACCAAAGCCTTGGAGTGTAATGCACTGGTACATAAATAGCTGCTGAAGTCTAATTAAGCAGATAAATTCCACTTTCAGATTTTAATCTGGCCCAAGTGCTCTTGTCTGTTTGTACATACAATAACAACACACGTGTGTTGACAAAGGAAAGCTGCACTTGAACAGTGCAGTTAGTGCCTGCACTTCTCTGCAGTATGCATGTAACACAGTACTTGTCTTGATAAGTTTTGATTTATTCCTTTGTATCACAGCTTAATTTCAGGCTCAGTGTTATAAAAAACAATGCGACAGTCTCAACAGCAGCCTTGTGCTGGGAGCTATAATCTGCAAGCCTGCCTTTGTCTCCAGGCTCAGGTCTGCAGTATTTTTGTTCCTTATTAAGGATAGCTGACAGTATTGTCAAATTAGCAGGATTAACCTACTTTAAAACGGAAATTAGGTCAGTTACTATTTCCATGGTCAGCCAGTATTGTTTCAGCTTCTCTTGCATCCTACAGAATGGGAAGTTTCCTATGGAAAATACAGATCTGTGTGCAACAGCCAGCCCCATCCCAGACCAACACACACATGTCTCTGCTGACACAAACCTTTTGGCCAGAGGAGAAATCAGACCTGCTAGAGACTGTTATAAGCTGCTCCTTTATCAGGTTGTTTACGATGAATAATTTAGGAATAATTTGGGTTCTTAAATACTGATATTTGACTAGCACCTAACAAACAGGCTCCATGTGATTTCCAAGGATCTCCTCCCCTCAGAACGTGCCTTCCAAGTCTACCTTACTGAAGCAACAAATACTTGGATGAAACAGCTGCTGACAGCAGAGAAACGCACTCAGCCTACAGCCAAGCTACTGATCTTCTCTGACTCGAGAAGCAGTATGGATTTACCTGCAGAAACAGTTTTCAGCTGCTATTAGAGCACCCGATGCACAGACGCGGCTCCCTCTGAAAGCTCCCGCACCGCAGGAGAGCGGCGCTCGCTCCGCAGTGCCTGGGCAGCACCGCGGACACGCGGCGCGGCGGCGCTCCAGGCCCCGCGGCACTGCGCTTGTGGCAGCGGGAGAGGGGGCACCCCGGGAACGAGGCTGGGGCCAGGCGGAGAGCAGGGTCCTGCAACGACCAGCGCACAGAAAGTGCCGAGCGCGGAGGGCCGAGGCGCTGCATGTTGCACCCCCACGTTTTCGGGTCCTCCTTGGGTCAGTCTGCTCCTGACCCCCCGTTTTTTTCACTACACTTATTAGGTAAAGCATAAGGTCAGAAATGCAAATTATTCATTTAGGCAGGAGAATTTGCTGTGCGCAGGCAGAGCCCATTCCCACTCCCTCCAATTTCACACAGCTCCCAGCAAGAACCCAGCACAGGGCTCTAAGCCGTTCACCCTCAGCAAAGTTTTTATTCTGCCTTCAATTCCCCTGTGCCAGGGAATCCTCCTAACTCTCCTCCCAGTAAAGGAAAGCCTGACCTCCATATGATAACACACTACGAGAAAAGCAGAGGGAGAACTATCCCTCCGGCATTTCTGTTACAGTTCTTCCTCTCGAAACCACTTTCAGTCACTCTCTCACTTTCACACTGTGGCAGGAAAATTAACATGCAGGAAAAACATACTGAAGTTGCATATAACGTAGCTAGCTACCTGCACTGAGGAAAAAGAACTGAAAGTTAACAGCATGCTGCTTCCTCTTTCCTCCTAGCTGACCTAAAACGAACAACAAAAACTGCAATTTGTGCATATTAATTACATTCCATACACAGAGAGCTGGGGAAGGAGAGCAAGACAAATCCCAATAGTGCAGGGCATCGTTTTCTCTGGAATCACAAGCTCACAGGAGTCTGTCTGTAACATTTCTTGGCATTTGCTTCTCCCTTCCATTCTCACGCATGTGCAAGGATATTGCGGAGAGCGACTGCTTCACAGGAAGCCCGAGATTACTCAAGGTACATGAGAGCTGCTGCAGAGCCGCCCCGGAGGACAGAAAAACCTCCCCAGTGCTCATAAACACCCTGCGATTCCTCATTGGGGTCACTTCTAGCAGATGGCAGAAGGAAAATCTCTTCTGTTTAGAATGAACTTGGGCAGAGCTGGAGAAGAACCGAGTGGCGCCCAGGCAGCCCCCGCTGTGCGGGGAGGTGTCCCCGTAGGGGCGAGGGGAAGGAGCGGCCGCGCCGGCCGCGCTCTCCTCCTCGCGCTCCAGGCAGCCTGTGCAGCACACAGGCAAGCCAGCGCCACCAGGGCTGCCTTTCGCAATGGCAAACTGGGACTGGCTGCTTTTATACAAAGTTTTGCATTGGGATTTTTGGTTTTGTTTCCAAGAATCACCTCCACATAGGTGCAAACTGAGCATTTCCTAGTTGCACAGCAAATCTGGGTTTGGTTACAGGATCTCATTTCCTCGGTTTTCCCTAGAAGCAACGCGCATGTTTCCAAGAGGCAATCAGCGACGGCAGCAGTAGGCAACACGCAGACCAAAATGGCATTTACCCCTTGTGCAGCACACAAGCTCCAGCAGGTCCATGCTGTGTAGTCACAGCACAAAGTGCAGCTGGGAAGGGTGGAAGCAAGTTCTGAAGCAATCCTGATCAGTTCATGGGTAAATAAAATAACATCTGCAGGATGATCAACCTAACGACATCCATTAAATCTGCTAACAATTTTATTTGCCCCTGGATCACCACAGGTCAGTCAGAGCCACGCTGTGTTATAAATGCTCATCGAGTTATGAATGTTCCTTTTACACTGTTAAACACCATTCCTTTTGAGAGGCGAGGGCTTCAAGAGCCAGGGATAATCTGTCTCCCAAGTTTCTTCAGTAAATACCCCAATCCAAATGCTTGCTTTGGGACACAAAGCATTGCCATGAGCACAGCACAAACACACAAGCAACAGCCTTGGGAACTGCACCCTCCCACCAGCCCCGACACAGGCAGATATTCTGCTCTTCCCACACACCAGCCAGGACCGATGCATTTTGCAAAGAGCCTTCACGTGGCCACGCGTTCTTTACCTCGTAGCAAACATGGCTCTCAGGGAAGAGAAGGTCGCAGCGTCTTCTTTCAGAGCCTTCAGCTCGTTGCGCAGCTTCATCATCGTCTCCGTCACCATGGCTTTCTCATTTTCATACTTGCTTTTCAGGTTGGCAAGGGCAACCTCCGCAGTCTGGTGTTCACCAGGGGTGGAAAGGTGGAAAGGTAGTTGTTAGGGCAGCCCTTCACACACCGAGCACCCAGCTAAGGCATTTCCCACGGCCATTCACGTAATGAAACATTTACTTAGCCCTGGAATGCTACACTCCTGGCCAATTTCCCTTGTGCAGATTAAATAAAAGTGCATTTTGAATACTGGAAAGAGATCAGATATACAGGGTTCCTATGCCCATTAACCAAGCAAATCACAGCAATATCTAGGAAGTTACAGAAGACACATTTAGTGACACTTACCTCCAACTATTAAACACTTCTTAATTCAACACAAAATATAAAAAGACTGTTTACTAGCTCTCTATTGACACATATTCAACAAAAGCTTTGGTAAGTCTTTAGCCTTCAAAGAGCATTTTGTATATCTTCTATTTCAGAAGACTCGTACATGAAAACATGAGCAAAAAAAAAAAATTCAAGCATCTAACTATTTCTTTTTTTTTCCTCTTCTCGAGACAATTTCAGCTTGCATTGCCTTCCGAGGAGACATCATGTAGCCACATGATGTTCTCATGACAGTTATTTAATCTACTGCACTGCTAATGTGTACTGAGTGGGACAGTCCAGCCTCTGAGACAAGTTTGACTTTTGTTGCCTATTCTCTTTTGACCATATTCTTACATCGCACCCTCCTCTTAGTAGGAATTTCCTAGTAGGAAATTTAAGAGAGAAGAGGACATACATCAGGAACTATCTTGAGGGCAATTATCAGAATTCTTTCAAGTAGAAAATAATCACTAGCTCTTCATTTTAGGTTTCCTGCATTCAATATAATTTAAATAGACTCCAGACTGAAGCTATATTAAACTCAAATAAAAATTACTCCGTGATAAACAAAAGCCAAAGCCCTGGCATTCAGCTTCACAGTAGCACACTCGTGTGCCTCCAGTAAAACCATTCCAGCTTCTCAGTCTTTTCACAAACCAGCAACTAATGGCCTACTGTGTTCAGGGAAAGGCAGCACATCCCCAAAGAAAACTCTCATGACCTACTTCCCTGAGACCATAACTTTTAGGCCTGTAGGACCCTGCTTACCTGTTTGTTGGCCTTCAGCACAGTCCTTAGAGTTGCTATCTGTTCTCTCTTGGTGCTTAGCAGGGACTTCAGCTTCAGAATTTCTTCCATGAGAGCTTCCTTGTCCTTGTCTACTACTGGCCCAAGTTCTTGGGTGGCAACACGCTGTCTAGACAACTCGGTTGTTCTGTCCACAGCAGCCTGCAGGTGTTTGATCTGATCGCGTATTATAGCAATCAAGTTATAAATGTTCATGGGTTCCTTCCGAGGATCTGACACAGGAGATGGCAGAGATGACACTGGAGATGGGCTGCTGTCGCCGCTTCCACCCTCTGGCTTTCCTAGCTCTATAGATAACAGCCCCTTAGAAAGAAGAATAGGGGATTTTCTTCCCTTAGTTTCTGGACTGCTGCGTCCTCCTTTACCTTCCTTGTAGTAATCCAGCATCACTCTGTTTGGAGTTTCATTGTTGCACATGCAGACATGGTGATACAGATTGGCCAGTTCTTCACTGAAGGTGACTAGTTCATCTTGGGCTACACTGAGGCTGCCCTGTGTTTCTCCAGCAACGTCACTGACTTTCTTCAGCTCCTTCTCCAGCCTGGCCACCTGCTCTCTATCATGCCTACTGGATTTTTCTAATGAGGTGATCTTTTCAGTGAGAGCTTGGCTGTCAGTCTCATATCTGCTCTTCTCCTCCTCATACTTAGACTCACACTCCTTGTATTTAGCCTTAAGGTTTTTAAGTTCTTCCTTCAGGTCGGTAATCTCTGCCACAGCCACTTTGTATTTGCACTCTAAAATCTCCGGCCCATTGATGTCAACTTCATAATAGTCCCCATCTTCATGGCTGTCTCGCTCCTTCTCGTTGTCCAGGGCAGACTGACGTTCCTTGCTGACCTGGAGCTTCTTCATGGCGTTCAGGTTTTCCGTGAGCCTGCCAACTTTCTCATGCTGCTCCGAGAGGGCTCCGCGCGTATTTTCCAGCTGCTTCTGAGATTCCTGCAGCGTAGTTAACAAGTTCATCTTCTCTCTTTCCATCTGAAATGCATGGAAATAGACATCTATTTACAGGAAACAATACTACATAAATGCTTTTATTTTATTGCACGGAAACCAAGTTAGCCACAGCAAAATCCATACAGTTACAGAAACCTAAACTCTAGCACATTATAGAAGAAGATAGTTTGGGAGCAAATGAAGTATCTCAAGCAAAGTGTTCTTCCCCAAATCTGTCATTTCCATTCCAAAAACGCAGTTTTATGCATTTCTTCCATGGTTGGAGGCCTCATAAAAAAAAAAAAAAAAAAAAAAAAAAAAAAAACAACTTTCGGTGGCTGAGGATGAGCTAAAATTTACTATTAATTTGAAAATTGCTAAGAAAATTTTTTAAAAAAGCAAAGAGCTACTCAAAAGTACAGACTGAGTGATATTTAAACTTTTAAAGTTTTAATAACACTTTTGTCTTTAAAAAAAAGAAAAATAGAGATTTATCCACAAAGGCTTTTTCTTATAAAATTCATTTCTTTAATTATTTACAAAGTAATTTAAAGAGATTTCTAGGCAAAATAAATATGCACTTCAAACTCTCGAACCTTCTAGTAACACGTATATAACACAGAAATGTATTCTTAATCAGTGCCAAACATGTTCTTCGAATTAATTACTGAAAATCAATATTACATATTTACAATATATTTTCTCAGACACCATATGTGAAGAGGTGTAATTTCACTAAACAGGCTGTTCAATGTATAGTTGGCATTTCTATGAACTACATTACTGCAGGACTCTTCATCTTGCACAAGGTCTTCCAGGCGTTTACAAAAAAACTTTCTGGAAGATGAAGATGTCTGGAATGACTAGCATCTTTGGCAAAAGTACTTCAGCGATTGGTTACGCTTCTTGCTGCTAATCACCTCATATGTAGGCACAACATATAAGGCAGAGAAAATGCCTCTGACACTCCTCCGAATATAGGACATGACTGACTTGTATCTTCTTTAGATCCAAAAAAAAAAAAATTAACATCCTCAAATTCTCTCAGAGAAATCCAGAGATTTTACGAATATAGTTCAAATTCTATGGTGACCACATAAGGTAGTGAGAAGACTGAAATTCAGTCAGCTAGTTACTATTTAGAAGTACATAATTATTTTGGAAACACATTTACCTGTACAAGCTGTTGTTTCAGTTTCTGGATTTCAGAAATATTTAATTCGCTCAGAAGATCTGAAACCAGACTTGGAGCTGGAGGGAAGCTTTCATTTTTCTTGGGGGTTGAAGTGTTATTCTTGCCATTGCTGAGTTTGCTGAGGCAGTTCTGATCGAATCCATTCATGATCTCATCGTTATTGGGCTCTGTGGCTTCGTCGCTGAATTTCAGTCCATCCAAAGAGATGTTCAGGTGGCTGTTGTACATGGAGTCGTTGATGTTCATGTAGTGGGAGAGCTCCTTGCGAAGGTTGTTCTTCTGCTCGCGCTCCGTCTTCAGTGTCTCCAGGGCCTCCTCAAGCTGCCGTTCAGAGATCTCCTTCAGCCGAATGGCATCTTCCAGCTGGCTATTGAGAAACTCTGTCTCCTCTTCGAGCCTTTTGATTTCATGTTTCAGACCTTCAAACTCCACCTGGGCATATAGAAAGCGGAGAAAACTTTTAATAGAAATATCCGCCCGCGAGGCACCATGTAATTATATTTTTGTGTGTATATTTCACTTAGCATGGCAAGAGGGACTTTCTATTTTATTCAATTCCAAGAGTCTAGTTTCTGTACTCTGACTGCCTGCTTAATCCACTTTCAGAAAGACCAGGAATAAAGTTTCTCAGCAAACTGGTAAATGAGATAATCTACTCCAGCTTAATTAAGGTAAGTTGCGAGATGCAGTGTGCGATACAGAGGCACCATGAAACAGGCTTCCCCAGCACGTTATGCAAACTCCTTCTAGGTTTGATTAACAAATCCCCCGGCAAACCTTCCCACAAACTCAATCCAGCATTTTCAAACCCTGGGATCCCAAAGCTATGCACTATTAGACCACTATTAGAATATGCCAGTGGGTTTAGAACTGTTGGGAGGCAGCTAGAGATAAAACCCCACTTTTACATATTCAAAATAAAACTTTTCATTACTTTTGTTGTTATCATTTCAGCACATCTTGAAAAGGCTAGAAATCAGATTCTGCAGGACCATGAGGCTGACTACATACAGTTATTGAGCTGTAAACTGAAATTATGAACACCAACAATTAGGGAAAAGGAGGGAAGTTAAATAAAACTTTCTGACCAACAGTTAAATGAATTTCAGATGTTGGCTGGTATGCACCAGCTTGGTAGTGCTGAACTGCACCTATTTTCTTTTAAAACCAGGAACCAATCATGACTTGCAAGCTCTCAGTTGGGAAAATCTGACAGATTCTTCTATTCATCTCAGTTGGTTTGTTGATAATTAATAAAGTTCATCAAGCAAAATTATGACAAGGTAATAAAAATAAGAAAAATCCATTTTTTTCACAGACGGAATTTGCTCTTGGTTCTAAATATACCCACTGAGCCCAAATATTTATGATTACAGCATATTTTCAAAGAAGCCAGGCACACAAGAACAGTAGTCGATAATTCCCGGTAGCTCAAAAGATAACATCGGAGGTCAAGTTTGGCTTGCCTAGACTGACAGCATTCCTGGATATAGCTAAGAGCGTGAACACGCAGACAGGAACGTTCACCTGCACCTCCCAAGGCAGTGAGCGAGGAGGGGAAGAGGAGGAGGGCTGGGGAGCAGAGGCCAGCAGCAGCTAACCGCGTTGGTTAGAACCGGCCGGTCGCTACGTCCTCCGCACAGGGGCAACGGCCCCGCCAGCCCCTCCGCAGGACGTCAGGGATCCAAAGCACCACCATCAGACAGGACCCATGGTCCATCTTGTAACCCTCTTTTGGGCAGGGATGCACAACCCTGTAGCCAAAACAACAGGCATTGACATGGAGGGGCATGAAACAAGCAATACCCCACACACCTCACTTGTAGGGCAGCTCCATTTAGACCCCTGAGCAGGAGAAATGACTAAAAAAGAGCAAATTCTACTAAGCTTTTGTTTTGCGCTCACAATAACAGATGAAAGTAAAATTCCTGTTTTCTTCAAACCTTTTTATTTCAGTTGTATCACACTATTTTCTCAATTGAGCATAATATGGACTTCAGGAAGAAAAATAGCTAGACTCTGGTTGGTAGATTAAATGTAACTGAATCAAGCCAAAGACCACGTCTAATCTAATTACCTCTGCAAATGATAACTCAGGAAAATTCTTGAGTTGTTCCAAAAATGCAGTTTTCTAAGACTCTGAAGATAGCTGGAACTGTGCAATTAAATGTGACTTTTCAGATGTGCAGTCACACAGGTCTGACAGCACAGAGCAACTACAACAGTGGTCCATATTTTATGAAAGCTAGAAGAGAGGAAGAGCAGAGCTGGAGAGGCAATGCAAGCACCAAGTGTCTTCAAGAATAAATGTTGAGAATTACACCAGTTACAGACACCGTGGAAGAGGCAGGTTTTGCAAAGGACTCGAAAAAAACTAATGTAGTGAAAAGGCTAAACAAAGTAACAGAGTGGTAGAGATTCTACTTCCAGCAAAGAACAAGATGGGAACAGAGGGATGTGGAGGTCAAAACAGAAGCAACAAAGTTGTGTGACCATGTGGAAACACAGTCAGAAAGGAGTCAGACATCAAGCAGACAACTCCTGGTACTCCAGGATGGAGTTTCTAGTCACAACAGAAAAGCGGCCGCATGTTCAGAGGAGAGGCACAGGCTGCACCATGGGAGCTGACTCGTGCTACCACAGCCACACTCGCTATTTGGAAAACTTGCCTGATTTTGCTTCAGGACAGACACTTGCTTCTGGAGGCAGATGTTTTCCTCTTCAAGCTCCGTGTAGTCTTGCAGCAAACGCGCTTCTCTGAATTTATACTCCTTAATATCATCTCGCAGACGGGACCTTTGAATTTCCACATTCTGATTGACCTGAAAACAAAACAAAACAAAACAAAAAGAAAAACAGAATGATTAGTGACTTGGTCAGCTACGGTCACAATTTAATTTTAAAGTTTCATTTTTCTTTATATGCACTAATCAACTAGATTCTATTCAAACAAGCTCCCCTCCCTGCCCCCAAAATTAAATTAGAGAAACTCAAGTCATTTACACAGCTAATTAGATTTTGTTTCCTTGCTTTCCTTATGAATTCTCACTCCACCCTTGACTCAAAGGAAAGCTAATGGGCAAGCAGGTAATGCAACATTCATTTCAAAGTTTCCCTATTAGCAACAGCAAAATTCTCCAGATCAGGAATCAGATGCCTGAACGAACTAACCTTTAGGTAACACCATCTTTTCACAAGAGAAAGACAATTCCAGCTACTCGACACATTCATATTTGGATTTGCACATGCCTTTCCACAGAATTTTTTATGCCCAAATATTGGCAACAATTGCAATAATTTGGGAATTAAAAAAAAATTTGGAGAGGAACATTGAGCTAAAACTCAAATGAAACACAAGATGACAGGTAGAAAGAAAGAGCATCTGGCAAGTTCAAAACTATTCCCTCCTCTAAGAGCAAGATTTGTGCTATTTGCACTTCTTTATTTAAACAGGTCATGACTTTGAAATACCTAAGAAGGAAAGTTTTCTTTAGCTTACTTGTGTGTACGCACAGACACTCAAACTCCCGAGGCAGCGTATACTCGGTTGCCTGAATGGCTCCCATGGGTTCATGGCAAGACTGCAGGCCAACACTTGGGTCTAGCATGTTCTGAACACACAGGCAGAGTCACCCACAACTACAAGACCACTAAATCGAAACCACGGCTCCCTCGCACATCACGTAGAGATCAAACTAGAGCACTCTTGTCCCTACTTGTAGCAACAAAGAAAAAAGCAATTCACAAGCACACTGAGAAGCTGAAATAACTATTAATTGCTAAAAGCAGATGCTACAGTGCAACACTGTAGGTGACAAGCTACTCTATGCCATGTTCCAAGCACAAAATGCATTTCTCTACTCACTGCAAAAAGCACTTGTATTTCTTGACTACACAAGCGTCTGGTCCAGCGCGTCAGTTTTGTGAGGTTCTCCCCCCTCGCCCCACAGGCATTCTTCCTTGGAGGTTACGGAACATCACAGCAAAACCAGGTCTTGGCTGAGCCTCACCTCTTGTTCAAGTTGGAAGCCTGCTGACAGATTCATTAAGCTTCTGGCCAAAAGCAGCCAAGTCAGGTCTGGAGGCTCTAGTGAAACCACTAATGCAAGCTCTGGCTTCAGAGCTGAAGCTGCGTGATTATCCAGTTAATAACACTATGCTTCAACAGCCCTTTAGTCCAGGAGTCTAAAAGCACTTTTAACATTACTGAAGTTTTAAAACACATTTTTGTCTATTTGGGCCCATTTGCACACAAGTCCCTGTGCCGCTGGGAAAGCCGCGCTCCAGGCGGCGGACACAAACCCACATCGCGACCTCCTCTCCTCAGTGACTGCCACTGAGACCTCCCTCCCTGGGCAGGGAAAGCCTGCACCCAGAGACGCTGTTCAACAGCTAAGAAGGCAAAAGGTTCTTCTATTTTATACAAATTAGGAGGTCATTGCTATAATTTGCCCTGTTCCCAAATAATGGAAATTCAATGGCAGAGCTCCACAGATTTACAGGTTATCTCTTCCCCTTCCTTCCCCCAAACCTGAATAGGCTGCTTTGCTCCTGCTCCTCCCTGATGACCTCATCTTTGCAGAGGTCAAAGCCTGGAAAAGTCACTGGAGCCCTTATTTACTGCAGGGAAAATGTTTTCTGTCCAATCCGCTCTGCCACACTCAGAGCAATAGCGAGAGCTCATTACCTAATGGGAAAGTACTGTGGGGCTCTGTGCAGTGCAAGAAAAATCACTCTATTCCAATGTGTACAGGAAGGCCAGATTTAAAAATAGCTGCCTTGTTTCCTGACCAAGGAAGGAAGATATAACCTAGATTTATTGGCTGCTTAGCAAGCTGTACACTCCGTTTGCTCTTGGCATTTTACTGCCAAATAAATCTGCATGCTTGCAAGCTGTGGGGTTACATCGGGTCCTGTGCTATTCCACATAATTAACTAACTCGTTGGTTTGGGGGGGTTGTTCATTTGTTTGCTTTTTGAGGAAAAGAAGCTACTGCCTGCTCCTTTATCAGATTTTTATATTATAAAAAAATCATATTCATATATTTTAAGACAAATATACATTGTGCATGTCCTCATGTGAGATTTTGTCATGAATACTCAAAACTCAATGGATTATTGAACCACAGATGAGTCTGAAGCAAAAATCTCCTCTGATTTTAGGGATTTTTATTGCTTCAGTTATTCAGCTGTCCATTTTTCATTCCTCCTCAGGCCCACGGAACATAGCAGGAAAGGGGGAGCTGGAAGACAAGGGCAAGCTTCGCTGGGCTCGTAGTTACATGAAAAGTCCAATTTCCACCCAAAGCTGGAGGGAGGTGGCTAAATAAGACTGCACTTACAAAATCTCACTCCCATTATGTGAAGAGTCAGCTTCTTCACCTGCAGAACAGGTGAAGGGTCCTGTGCATCCCACCCAGAAGACAATCACACAGACTATATCCCGAAGCCTCCGCACTCTGCCTGGAGACCGCACGCCACACATGGACCCTGCTGCTAGCAAGCTGCTCTTTGGCATTTTCTTCTGCTCAGTTTTGCCTCCAGAAAGTTCTGCAAAGGGTTGGATCACCAAGATCCGTGCTGGAGATAGCAGAGATTTCCTGAGCTGCACATCGAGGGTCGGTTCAAGTTGCTCTTGTCTGCATATCCAAACATAACTGCTTTCCTTCAACACCAACAGACACCTCCTCCTCAGCACCTACTTATCTAGTACATCCTTACATAAAAAGTACATTTAGTGCCCCATGCAATAAATATTCCCAGAAATTATCGTTGAAGACACGCTGTGCTCCTCACAGGGAAGATGCACAGAAAAGGATGCAAGCACTTTGCAAGACGCACACTGGAGCTGGGAGCAGCAGAGCCAACACGTTCTGTTGCTGTTGGGGTATTTGCATGTGTGTAGGCAGGGAAATTAATAAAGCATCATCTCTCAGACATTTTACTAAGTTCTAGCATGAAAACTAGGAAGACTATTCCGTGGAAACTCGTGTAACTTATCTTCTTCAGCACCGCTTTAAAGGAGGCACTTGGAATGGTTGTCTGCATTTTGTGTCTATTTCTGCAGCTGTTATTCTAGGAAAACATCCCCATAGTTAGATCTCCCACCCACACAAAATACCAGTGGTGCAATTGGCTCAAGATTTGAGCTGTGAAGCTCAAAAGAAAAAAAAGAAAAAAAAAAAAGAAAGAAATTTCAAGTCAATGACTAAGCATTAATTCATCTAACAAATCAGAAGTCAAACTTGGAGCTGCTGATGCAGCTTTAATTGCGCCTCCTTGTATATACAGCCTTTAGACACCTGAAGGAAAGAGATTCTGCGGCACAACAGCACAAAACTGTAATTTAGGGCTGGAATGTAATATGCTCCTGGAAGGAGTTTTTGCACAAGAAAACAAAATCCCTTTTCTCCTAGTTTTCAAATGCCGAACTCTTAAACAGTATTTTTTATATTATTACAGACATAAAAATAAAAATTTGAGAAGAAAAAGGTGGAAAGCTCCTTTAGGTCCAACTGCTTGCTGGACAGGAAGCCAGGCTTTGGAAACGTGAATGTTCCCAGGTGCAATAGGGGTCACTCACAAGATGCAGACGTCCTCCAGAGCGGCAGGGAGGTCGGGCAGCCCCGCCAGGGCAGCTGGGGCTCCTGGGGACGCCCTTCTGCCCTGCTGGTGCAGGAACCCCGGAGCTCCTGGGGACGCCCTCTCCCCTGTTTCTGCAGGCACCGGAGCTGCAAGGGCACCACACAACTTGGCCTGTTCTATTGTTATGATAAAAGAGCTATGAAATACATAAGGGCTGCATCATGACTTGCAGACCTTTGCTTTCCTAACTACGACGGCCCCCCTGGAGCTGGTCGGCTCCTCGGAAGGGCCCTCCCGCAGCAGCCGGGCTGGGCGCCAGTCGCTGCTGGGCAGAGAGCGCCCGGCTCTGCCTCCCCGTCCCGGGCCCTCCCGTCACAGACCCGTGCGTGCGGGTGACCGTGCACGGCCACACGGCCCGGGGCAGCGGCCCGCGCCTGCAACGCCCACGGTCAAGCAGGGACAAGTCGTACAGGAGAGCACCCCTCGCCCAACCTTCCAACAGTGTCCACTGAAATTCTGCAGTCACCGAGTTACTTCCTAAATGTTTACGAGAGCTTTGATACTTTGGTTCCATCTAAGACCCACACATCCAGAGGCCACGCATCTTACATGGTAGAAGGGGACAATTCTTTAGATATAAGCAATGCTTTTATTCTAACTGTGCCACCCGTGTCCTCTGCTCCGAACAGCATGTGTGAAATGAAGAAAATAGTTCAGAGAAGGGACAGAAAAATTAACATGCTCTCAGAGAAGCTCTACAACATAAGTACAATCAAAAGAAACATTGCAAAAGAGACCAGACCACCAATATAGTAAAGAAAAAAAAATAGTTTGAATTAGTAGGGCTGTAATTTTTTTTCTAGGGTTACTTGCAGGTACGTTTTTGGTGTCTTGTTCACACAAGCCCACTGGGAAAAAAAAAAAAAAAAAACCCAGAATCCATATTATCTTAAATCCTGTTGCTTAGACTCTGCTCTGTGCTTGCACTGCAAGCCATGGCATGACGGGCTTCCTCCTGAAAAGCTGCTAGACCTGATAAGTCTCAGTGTGACTGGAGAGTTTCACACATAGAGGGGTTCTGCATTCATTTAGAAGCTGAAATAAATAATGTTTCACTCTTTAAATTAAAAAAAAAAAGAGAATGGTAAGATTTAATCACATTTAATACCTTTTTGGGAGTCAGCGAGGAAACAAAAGCAGAGAGAGATGGATCGTACCCACGGGCAGCGCCACCCCT